TAACTAATAGCATTCCAACATTACAACTATGGCGTAAAATTCTCAGACTAAAATTCATGTTCTTGCTGAAAAATAACTGTTTATTCCTTAACCCGCAGCCTTTCATAACTCCACTCGAAGCACGCCGGACAAGGCATCGCCACGCTGAATCCCTAACGCCTTATAGCACTAAAACCAACGTATTTAAGTATTCATTTTTTCCACGTACAATAACAGACTGGAACAACTTGCCTTGTGAACAGCTGTCCAATATTGACGCTATTGCTCAGTTAAGATGTTAAGTTTTTTATGCTTTGTATATGCCTTGTGTATGCCTTTTTGTTCTTGCCTTGTATATGCTTTGCATATGCTTAGTTTATATGCCAACTTTTGTATTGTTTCTTTTCCCGTTCCATGCTTACAATGTTGTTTCCCTCTGGTTATTATAATGTGTACTTCCCATGCCCCTCCTGCTTGGGCCCTTACCTTGCCTGCAGTATGTCATAAATAAATAAAAATAATAAATGAAGCTGTGCAGTACTTCACAGCTTTTCTTACTGACACAGCAGCCAAGTGCATACCACCAACATCTGGAATGCCAAGCAAGCAAGGCATCCCATGTTGGAACACTGTGTGTTGAAATGTGCGAATGGAGCAGAACAGGGCATGGAGGTTGCTTCTGAACTCACCGACAGCCGAAAATCTTGACAGCCTTAAGAAATATTCTCAAGGCAGTAGAATGCATTGGCAGGCCAGAAGAGAAAGCTGGCAGAAGTTCTTATCAGGGATCAATTCATATACACAGGAGGCTAAAGTCTGAAACATGGTTAGTAGGGTAGCAGGAAGACAAATACCGTACACTCACTCCCACTTGTAAACACACCGGGTGACAGCTTGAAAGATCAGGCGAACTTCCTCGGCGCATACTTCAAAGAGGTGTCCAGACCATCACACTATACTGACGCTTTCCGAAAATGCAAAACAAGAATAGAAAAGCAAGAACTAAAGCACAAATGTACAAATTACGCGGCATACAGCCAAGCTTTCATCTTAGCAGAGCTCCAAACATAACTGAACTGCAGTGATTCCATGCCAGGTTCCGACCGTGTGGTGTACAAAATGTTGAAAAACCTCCCAAACGAAACGCAAAAAACTTCACTGTGCTTGTACAATGCGATCTGGTTCTTCAGCGCTATCCCTACTTCCTGGAAAGAGGCTATTATTCCCATTTTGAAACAGGGTAAGGACCCTTCTTTAGTTTCGAGTGATAGGCCTATTGCACTTACACGCTGCCTGTGCAAACTCTTCGAAAAAATTATAAACTGCCAACTTGTACATTTCCTTGAAACAACCAATTTGCTCGACCAATTACAGTGTGGGTTTCGAGTGAGTAGATCCACCATAGACCACCTTGTTTGTATCGAGGCACAGATCACAGACGCTTCTGTCCACAAAAAAATATTTTCTTTCTGTGTTCTTCGCTTCGATATCGAAAAGGCTTATGATACAACATGGCACTTTGGAATATTAAGAGACCTGTCCCACCTTGGCGTGCGTGGCAAAATGCTAACCATAATTGAAAGTTTTTTTAACCGGACATTCAGTGTCAGAGTGGGCAGCATTCTTTAATGAACATTTGTCCAAGAAACAGGAGTGCCGCAAGGTGGTGTACTTAGTTAATAAAGTGTACTTAGTTGTACACTTTATTATTCTTTAATGAACATTTGTCCAAGAAACAGGAGTGCCGCAAGGTGGTGTACTTAGTTAATAAAGTGTACTTAGTTGTACACTTTATTATCAAAATGAATTCTTTGTGCTTGTCAATCCCTCGCAATATGTTTTATTGCACATATGTCGACGATGTCCAGCTTGGTTTTTAATCTTGCAATCTTTCCTTGTGTGCACGGCAGGTTCAGCTTGGTTTGAAGAAAATCTCCGATTGGGCAGAAGAAAACGGGTTCCGACTGAATGCACAGAAAAGCGCATGTGTCTTGTTCTCCAGGAAGAGAGGCATTCATTCCGAGCCCAAATATTCAACTGCATGGGCACAGTCTTTCTGTTAATACTGAAGATAAAGTCTTAGGCCTAGTCTTCGACACCAAGCTAACCTTCATACCACACACCAAGTGTTTAAAAAACAAGTGCATAAAAGCCATGAACGTTTTAAAAGTGTTATCACGCACTACGGGGGGAAGTGACAAGAAGTGTCTGATGAATTTGTATAAAAGGCTCATACGTGCTCGCCTAGACTATGGGTCAATAGCATATCAGTCTGCGATATTTACTGTTCTTAAAATGCTTGACCCTGTTCATTAACTAGGCATCCACCTCTCTACAGGTGCGTTTCATACTAGCCCCACGGAAAAATCAGAACCAGCAAAAATATGGAAGCAAGTAAATCCTTTAACTGGAAGAACAATAGCATCAAGTACATCTAAGCAAGTAAAAGCTGGTGATACCATTCTAGAGGTTATAGAATTGGCGAATGCATTCAACCAATACTTTGTAAATGTGGCTGTGAGTGATGAAGAGGCAACGTAATATAACAACGAGGCAAACGTTTCCCTGAATTCTCTTGTACTACACGAAGTATTACCAGATAGTCTACCGGTATATAAAAGAACTAAAAACGAACGTTGCAAGTGGTTATGATGATGTAAAGGCAGCTCCAGTTAAGGTCGTCGCACCTGCACTTAGCCCTGTATTGGCAAATATTATAAATTATTCCTTTTTGACTGGAAGCTTCCCGAAAAAACTTGAGGTGGCCAAGGTTACACCCATCCATAAAGGTGGCAACACCTGTGACTTAACTATCGTCCGATATCTGCGTTACCTGTATTCTCAAAAATTTATGAGAAATGTATAAATATGCGCCTCATGAAATATCTTGAGAAATATATCTTATCACTGCATCAATATGGATTTTGCATTAATAGGACCACAAAAGAGGCAATAATTAGCGTAAAAAGTCGCATAATCGAAAACGTTGAAGGTAAAATGTAGACGCTAGGAGTCTTTCTTGATTTGTGCAAAGCATTCGATTTGGTTGATCATAAAATTTTACTGCTGAAATTAAACCGCTATGGAATTCGCGGAGTATTCTCACTTATTTAAATGCTATTTATCATCAAGATATCAATTTGTTAGCATAGACAGTGAAAGGTCCGAATATTTCAACATAAAAAAAAAGGAGTTCCTCAGGGCTCCATTTTAGGCCCCGTGCATTTTCTTTCTATATAAATGATATTACAGAGGTTCAGTACACACCCGAAATTAAAATGTTCGCTGACGACACAAGTATATTTTTAACAGGCTCCACCATTCAGGAAGTAGAAGCTTCAACAAATCTATACCTCTCGAAACTCTCAAGCTGGCTAACAAAAAACAAATTAAAATTAAATACAGAAAACCAAATTTATTATGTTCAGACCTATAAACAAGCGGATAAATGATAATATAGTCATTTCGTTCAGCGATCAGCGACTAGGACAAGTCAGTACACAAAAATTTTTTGGAGTCTGATTTCACGAGCACCTGTCGTCGACGCCTCACGTTAATTGTCTCTTAACAGATCTAGCTCGTTCAGTGGGGTGTTTGAGTAAAATCGCTTTCCTCCTCCCCTCATGGTTATTTGAATAGCTGTATTATAGATTGTTCTACTCCAAACTTGGATATGGAATGTTGGTATGGGGAACAACAACTAAGAGTAATTATGATGGATTAACAGTATTACAGAAGCGCGTGCTTCGTATCATAGAAAAAATATAAAGGTCATCCCAGGGACCTAGACACTGAAACACTTTTTCTTAAACACGAAATTCTGCCTGTTAGAAAAGTTTATAATTTTAAGCTGATGCAACATATTTATAAACATAAACTACAGAATTCCTACCCACGAACTATATCAACTAAATATGGCTTCAGAAAATTTTCCCGCAAAACTAAGAAAACATGCACGAATTACGGAAAGCAGGACATTGATTACAAAGTTATTCAGTTGCTAAACCTTCACGAATCGAATATAGATTTTACACTGATATATAAACCATTTAAATCTCATATTAAATCGCTTCTTTTCTGACTGCCGGCATTGTAGACCCATAGTCATTTACACGTAAGAGTAATGGTACACTCTCTTTCTATGTATTTTTATGATTGTTCACTGTGATTGTAAAATGGAATTCGCTCCAACAATGTGTGGAATGAAACGTATTTTAAAATGTGTGCTTCTGTTTGTATATGCCAAAAATGCATGTTCTGAATGTTTGATTATTTTGATTATATAGAAGAAATATATTATGGCATGCCAGTATCTTCTACCAACGAAATATGTAACCGATGTATACAGTTGCATGTTGCTGATGTGTAAATGTACATGTCACTGATGCAGACTGTTTTTTGGTTAATAGGGGGTGAGACCTCGTCAGGCTTTTAGCCTTTAGTCTTTGCCTCCCGCAAGAAAAAATTCTGTATCTTTTTTCTCCTGCAAATAAACAATGTTGAATGAATGTTGAAAGCCTGTACGTGGAATCAAATGAATGGTCTTTCCACCTACAGAGATGTGAAATGTCTTTTATATATTATCCTAAAGTGAACGCAGATAAGGTGACATGTCAAGTTCTGTTGCATTTGAAAACCAACCTTCTATGAGACAGCCCTACTCACTCCATGTGAGGGGGCCTAGCGAAGAAAACCGGTGTGCCACTTGAACACCGTTTGATGGCTCCCGGAGCATGCCTGCCACTGTGGCAGTGGCAAGTGGTAGATTGCGACGTGTCTTTCTTGGAGGTTACAAAGCACGTGCCCATTGCACATGTTTAGACATACTTCCTGGAACTACAACATAAATACACATGTCCGTATTGCTATACAGATGCTTCAAAGCCCAAAACTTCCATGTCCTACGCAGCCATCGGCCCATCCTTTTCGAAAGCCGGCGTACTGCAACATTCAGAAATATATTGCAAAGAAAGAAGTGGATATGGCAGCTATGTAGTGGTGACATGAGTGGAATTTTTCAGGCACAACCAGAGACCACTCTACCCTCGCCCACGGCTGCGCTCAAGTCGTGCTGGAATCCCATTGTGAGCCAGCTCAAGGAGCAGCATTCACCCAGGGCCGAGACCCCGCTGAGCACCCCAGGCACGCCTCCAACTGTGTATCCCCCACCTGCATATCCTAACAGGAGCCCCTCGGGCCTGCCCCCATCTCAGAGCCCCACGGTCACCCTGCTGCAGAAGGCTCGAGGTATTGCAATTTCACTCCGACCCCAAACTTTATTTTTGTTTAGACACCCATGAATTTGTAGCGTAACTCCCTTCCACCTCAGCTCTATAGGCTTTTGCAGTTACACTCAAATGAAGTTAATGAATATTATTCTTTAAATGAATACAGCCTTAGAAATAAACCTTTATAATAAATTTTTGGATATAACAAACTTAATTTTGAGTGCAGTGGAATTTTGATTATATGCCTTCGTGGGGGGGGGGGGGGCTGCAACTACCTTCATTTTACAACTAATCGGTTTGGTCTTGGCAAAACCCCATATAATCCAGTGAAAACCATGGTTATATGACGCAGTTTTACGCTGACCCCTCATCCTACAATGACTTTCAGATTCCATCGGAAAGAAAAAAAAAAAAACACCTTTACTCGAATCAAACGTCGACTAAATATATTTACAAGTGCAAATATGAACTTGCATCCCCCTAGGTTTATCAGAAGAAAAGCAGAGGCCCCGCCACGGTGGTCTAGTGGCTAAGGTACTCGGCTGCTGACCCGCACGTCGCGGGATCAAATCCCGGCTGTGGGGGCTGCATTTCCGATGGAGGCGGAAATGTTGTAGGCCCGTGTACTCAGATTTGGGTGCACATTAAAGAACCCCAGGTGGTCGAAATTTCCGGAGCCCTCCACCACGGCGTCTCTCATAATCATATGGTGGTTTTGGGACGTTAAACCCCACAAATCAATCAAATCAAGAAAAGCAGAGAGTGAGACTGGGTGTCTTCGTAGAATGGAAAATTGATTCTCTTGGAAGTTCATGCGCTTCTACATACGCCTCGATCGAGCGTTACATATCTGGGGTCGTTACCTAGTCAAGATCTGTCTACACAGAGTAGCTTGAGCCAGCCAAAAAGCTGTCACGTTTTTGGTTCGTGGAAACTTTTCCTGATCAACATACGGCTGATCTCCTGCCTTTGTCGCACTCGCAGTCACAGGCTTTCACATGCATAAGGGCACAACACAACTGTTTTCATCGAGCAAAATTACTTTCATTTGACGTCAACGTTCATAACAGCGGAGCAACACTAGTTCACTAGTTGCACTTCACAAAACAATAAATTGCAAAACGCCACAGCTTACTAGTTGCGCACACTCGTGGGCCGTTGCCATTATGTGATAGCGATGACACTGTATCTGATTCTTCTGTGGGAGGCTGTTGAAAACGCGGTTTCATTTTCATGCGTAGGCAATTTTAGAACTCCATTTATCAGTAGAAGCACATTGGATTCAATTTTAAGGCTGAGAATAAAGGTTGGCTCGCCCCTCCTTGAACTCAGTAATGCTTCCATTAGCTGGCACTGGCAAGAATAATTTAACCTACCTTTCTTGCAGAAGCACAAGGTTTTCCTAGGGGCTTATTCAGGTAGCCTGTACCCGTTTCTTTTGGGCAAGGCTGAGTGTCACTGCCTATGATCTTAGTTTTTCTATTATACGACGCTTTTGCGTGATCCTCTGAAAGTAGTATAATCTGGGTTCCACCGTAAGATGCAGCTTTGTTATAATGAGGTTGAGTGTACTGATCTGCCATCACGGTGATTCTGTTTGCCAAACAATTTGTCCTTGCACTGCTATCTGCGATCCTCTGAGTTAGCACACATGGTAGAGCGGCCACCTCAAGATGGCCTCAATTTGAATCTTGGACCGGTATGTGTGTTTCTTCAGCCTCGAGGCTTTCTTTTTGAGAATTTCATTCAGGATTTCTTTAGCCTTGTGCTACAAACAGTTGGATGGGAATTTTCCCCTTTTGGGAAGCTGCAATGTTGATTAGCCAGAGTTATGTGGCTATGATGATGTTGAGCCTAGAAAGGTTACAAAAAACTGTTTAGTTTGCTCATACACAGAATGCACACGCATTCATAAAATGTGACTGCACAACACTATTGGCTTCAAGTATCACTACCGCAGCTCAACAAGGTTGAGGAGCAAATGATCTCTTCGATTGCCGGCTTCGCTGTTTGAAGCCTTGCACAGCCAAAAGGCTTTCCAGTTCTTTTTTGTTTTTGTTTTTTTAGTGCTAAAACCAATCTATGCTACCAACACTTCATAAACTAAATTAAATTTCAAAGATGTTATATCATGAGAGGAAGCTGCTTTATGGGACCAAAAATTGACAAAAAAAATGTTTTTTCATTAATGTTACTTTTTTGGTTATCCGCTAACGGTGCAAAAGATTACCAATTTCCGTGCCTTCTAGATTGCTATTTTAGCCACAACCTCCTTTCATACCACATCAGCAACTGATGGTGCTGTTTTCATTTCTATTTTCCCAGCTTCGACTGTTCATAACTTTACAATCTTTTGAGAAGGTCTTTCTCAGATTCGACACATCTAATTTTGATCATTTTTGTCTTGCTGAAAATCTGACTGCTTAGTGAGAGCAACAAAGCGTCCAGTATTACTTTGAAAGTTACAAACTATTAAGAAAAGGAAAAACCAAATTCCAGTCATTCAAGCGAAAAGCCTTGTTCTAGAGCGAGAACCATAAATTTTTCTTCTTGCATTTTTTACTTATATCTGTAGCATTCAATGACATTTCCTTAACCCTTTGTAGGTTTACCTCTATTTTGAACCGAGCTGCAATAAAGTCACCTTATTTACTCGCATAATCCTCGCACTTTTCTTCGCAGAAAACCGATAAAAAGTTGAAGGGTGCGAGAATTGCGGGGCAAAATATTCAGCGAGAACGTACCGAGCAAAAGAAAAAACGAAGTGGCCGGAGATCGGGATTTCCACGCCTGGAACTAACTACAAGCTTTGAGAAATACTAACTAAACTTACCTTAACAATAAAACGACAGGTTCAACACAAGGCAAGATTTATTTGAGACACAAAAGTCGCAAGCTTTCCGTACGGTATTCGCTTGCGGGCGTAGCATTAGACTTGAACGGTTGGTATACGGTTAGCATATGACGTCAACCTTGGGCTGACGGCCACCTACCTCAAAATCATCCACTGTGGCCTTCTGACGAAATAAAGTTCAACCATCCATCCCAGTCTCAGACACACGGAAGGCCCAACGCATCGGGCTGGCTTTCAGCTGCTCGTGCTGCCATTGCCAGTAGTGAACACTAAACTCGTCTACTCCGAAGTGCCTAGTGGTGGCCCTGTCGCCATTGTTTACTGCATAAGCAATCGCTTTCAACTTACGAGTAGTCGTTTAACTTCTGTATCGCCCTGTAGCGTAACACAACATACACTAACATGCCGCAATGCACACTTGCCACTTTGGCTTGGCTGGGATTAAATTGGGGCTTCAAGCTTGGATAGTACGCATGATGCTTAAAAGATGGCACCAGGCTGTCATGCACTATCATCATCAGTGGTTGAAGGAGCAGAAAATTATAGTGATTACTGCTGCAATTTTCAGGCGTGCGATAATTGCTCTGTGCAAAAAAAATTTATTTTTGGTGGGAAATGCGGGGAGGTGCGAAAATTATGCGAGTGCCAGGGTTATGCTAGTAAATATGGTATACTGCAGTATAACCTTATTAAAACAGACCTCTGTAGTGGAGAGGATTTCGGTCTGTTGTAAAAGGAGTATGTAAAATCCAAGTACTGTTACAACAGACTTTTGCACAAACTCTGAATGGGTCTGTTATAACCAGAGAGAATTACAAGTCAGACAGATTTATTCCCGTTGGGGACTTAAAGATATTGGTTTTTGAAAATCACATTTTTTCACCGAAAACTACATTGAAGTGCTGTAAAGGAATTTTTCACCTAGCGAGGTGGGGAAGATTATTGTGGAAGTCGCAAAAAAATGCATTTTTGTTTTCAAAATTCATACCTTATAAACCATATGTGCCTGTACACAATCTTGTGGAAAGGCACATTTGATGTACATACTTAATGACCTCGGCAGTTGCTAGACAAAATTTATTTTAAATGAAAACTTGAAGTTCTACTCGCTCATTTGGGTAGCTTCGCACAGCTCCTACACAGCTGTGATATGACCCATGCCTGGCTTTGCTACCATCACACCAGCTGTTGTAGTAGCTGGGTGTGGCGAGTTGAGTTGGTGAGCGCAGCGTGGCGGTGGCCTCTCCGTTGCTACTGCTTTAGCGCATGCGCGGCTTGGCATTACGTCACACCAGCTGTTGCAATAGCCAGGTGAGGCTATAGGCTGTGCGCAGCTGAGGCATTGGTGGTTGCTAGGCAATGATGCTGCAAGTTTAATCTTAATCCAGTTTTTATGTCATGAATAACGATGTTGCTGTTTAAAGGACACGGGCAAACTCCTATCGTTTCAACGAGCTTATTAAGCTTGTATGCCGAACATGTACACGGCAATTGCGACTTTGAAAACTGGGTTCCTGGAGCAGGAAGCATGCATTCAAAATTTGCATTTTGAAGGTAAAAAAGTTGTAGTTGGTATTTGTTTTAACAAAACATACAAGTTAGGAGAACAGGTGATTAATGACTTAATAGGCGCTCTCTTTCTAGAATCGGGATCGGACAAATTGTGTAGCTCTGCAAAAGCATTATGGCAAAGTCAGAAAAGAAAGCAAAGTTTATAAAGCATGAATATTATTTACGAGTCTTACATTTTGCAGAATTCGGCTAAGGCACTGTTGTAAAGTTTTTCAAAATATCTTGCACTGCTGAACGAGTATCTTTGTCGTAAATATTCTTTTGAAGCAAATGTTATGAAACTTGCCTCTTTTCGTGGTATTAAGCCTGTTACAAGTTCAGTGGTATGAAAATTAGATCTAGCCAAAGTTGAATGGGGGACAGGGAATGAGGCCATATGCGCACAAGACAGTTAGTATTCTGGAGATTCCAGGGGAATGTCTAGGTTAGCTTACAGAACTTGAAATAAATAGGTCTCACTGGTGTTCAATCTCGCCAAGTTATGCCAGTGACTCAGCGCTGCACATTATAGTTGTTTTGAAGCACCTGGCTCGTAGGTTGGCTTACCATGACTATAGTTAAGGGGGGACGCGGGTCTTAGATTGGTGAAAAATGGCCAAAAGGTCAATTTTGAAAAAATGCGATATTTGAAATTTTTAGACCTATAAGCACATGTCCTCAAATTGTGAACACTGAATTCGATCAGTAGATGGATTAAAATTGATTATGAAGTCGCCACGGGAGCCGCAAAACAACCCACGGCAGGTCAAATTCGTTCTAACTTCCCGCGCGCGCCGCCGGCGAGGCAGTCGGCCGATCGCTGCCATCTTGGGCTTGTTTTGAAGCTGATTCATTTGTGCGCATTTTGCCACCCTTCAAAATGCCGTCGCTTAAACAGAACGGCTGCCCTCGCCCCTTTTCCGGAGCCCCCTTCCGGGCCGCTGATTGGGCGGATCGCGCGCACACCAGGCGAGCCCCCTGTTCCTCGCTTCCCATTGGCTGATGCGGCCAAAGTTGCCCGCGCTTTTTTTTGTATATTGTTCATCGGCCGCCGGTTCCCATTCGCGCACATTGTTCGTCTGCTTCTCGCATGTGCCTGCTTGTGCTACGCGACCGCCTTTCCGTCTTTTGCCGGCATAATTGGAGACGCTCGTCTAAAGAAGAAGACGCGCCTAGCGTACGGCAAGAAACGGAGGTGCCCGTGGAACGCCCGCTAGAAGAAAGCAGCCGACAACGTGCAGCCGTTTTCGCCCCATGCCACCAAAGCGGCGCATTCTGACAACGACGCGCAGCCGCGGCCGCTTGTGTCCGAAGCAGTGCACTCTCCTGTGCCTTGCAAAAGCACCTCATCGGATTGTGTCGTCGTCGGATCGTCATTATGCACTTCCAACAGCATCCTAGACCGCATTGACACGGCGTTTTATTCGGCGGATGAGTTTGCTGAGTGCGCGAGAAATGCAGCGGGCTTGAAGGCATCACTCGCATCGCAGTGCGCGACGGAACGTAAGTTCGAGTTACTAGATATTGATCTGGAGGATGGTGGCAAAGAAAACGGGACAGAATTTGTTATTGTTGATCTGGCGGCAATACGCTCATTATTTGGACTTGTCGCGTGCCCAGAATGCGGTGAAAGAAGCTTCACTATTTCAAAGGCCAAGAAAGAGTACGGGCTGTGTTCGAAGCTCATAGTCACGTGCGGCAGTTGCGACTTTCGCGAAGAGCGTTTTTCGTCCCCACATATAGCTGACGAGACCGACGCCAAAATAAGGCCGTTTGAAGTTAATATGTGTGCCATGAAGGCCATCAACAGTATCGGCAAGAGGGCAACGGCTCTGTCAGACTTCTTTGCGGGGATGAATATTTCGCATTAAGGGCTTCACCATAAGAGTTACCAAAGCCACATGAATATAATGAAAGGAGCCTGCTGTGCGACTGCTGCCGAATGCGAAGCGGCGAGCGTTGCTCGCGTCAAGGAGCTCTATGCGGAGTTCGGCAACGCGCCGAAACGTCGACGTCATTTATGACGGCACCTGGCTTACGCGTGGACATAGCTCGCATATATGTGTTGGCTGCATTGTTGAGATGTATAGTGGCCTTGTGATAGACCATATCATGCTATCGAACTTTTGCCTGGCTTGCACCACAGGACCCAAGGAAGGAGAAGCAGGACATTCTGCCTGGCTCATTCAGCATGGCCCTCTGTGCCAGAAAAATGATTGTAATGCTGGCCAGATGGAAGTGGAGGCAGCACTACGCTTGTTTGAGCGGTCACTTGAAAAGCACAAGCTTCGTTATACGACAATGCTGTCAGACGGCGACAGCAGGACATTCCATGCACTCACAGAAAAAGAGGTGTATGGCTTCATAAAGGTGGCCAAAAAGGACTGCATAAATCATGTACACAAGCGTATGGGAGCTTCCTTACGTACCCTTGTAGAGAAAAAAAAAGCTCAAGGTGGCTCACTTGGTGGAAAGGGCAGACTTACGCAACAAAAAGATAAAGAAGATCACCTCATACTATGGCTACGCATTGAGAAGCTGCAGGAACAATGTTCCAGGTATGCAAAAAGGCTGTTCTAGCAACTTTGAACCACATTTCTTTAACTGACGAGGCACCAAAGCATGACCTTTGCCCTGAAGGCCCTAAATTCTGGTGCAAATTTCAGAGAGCTCTTGCGAAAAATGAGAAGCCGCCATCACACAAGGACAGCCTGCCTGATTTCGTAACTGAGGCATTGGAGCCTGTGTTTAGGCGGCTGAGCGACAATGCCCTCTTGGAAAGGTGCAGCGATGGGATCACCCAGAACCCAAGTGAGAGCCTGCACGCTATGATTTGGCAGCAGGCCCCCAAAACTTAGCATGCATCCTTGCGGAGCATTGAAAGGGCAGTTGCCGAAGCCATCAGCCGCTTCAACCAAGGCACAACCAAGAGCAACATAGAAATTGTTGAGAAGCTGGGCTACAGCGCTGGCAATAACTTGGTGCGTCGCAGCCTTGAGAAGGTCAAGGGCAGGCTGCAAAAATCGCGAAGAGAGCATCTCGACAACAGTTCAATAAAGGAAAGACTTTCAAAGCGTCACAAGCCAGCAGGGGACTCTGCTTACAGCCCTGGTCTGCTGTAAACAGTCATGATGGCAAATAGTGAGAATTTTTGCAAAAATAAATATTCTTGGTTTTAGACTTAAACATTGTGTAAATATATCGAAGGACAATATTATTACATGATTTTTTTTGTGTTCCTTTCACTTGCAAGGCACTGGAACGACCACAAAGTAAAAAAATAATCTCATGCTGAGTCAATGACTATTTTATAGTTCTAGAACAAGCTGTGAGCAGTATTCCAGGTGGGTACAGTGAAATTTAGCATGGCCATTTATCCTATAATATAGAGCTACAGAATGAGGTCATTAATGTCGCTGTAGCTTCAATTAAGCAAAAGTTAGTTGCTAGAGACTTCAAACGGGTTTTTCTAAGTTCGATGTTTTTGCACATTGCACTCGGCCTTACGGGGGTTTTTCCTATGTTAAACTTGAGTGAATGCGATAAAGTTGGTATCATTTTATTCGTCTTGACATGATCTAGGGGGTGATGCTATATCTATTTCTCTAGCATCACTTAAAAAATTACCATTGAAGATATTAGTGAGAGAAATTTATTGTAATATAGTGACCATAAGTGTTCGTCCGTTTTCTTGCTTATAAAATGCCTTCAAATGGACAAAAATAGCACCACCCCCTACAGCAAGTCTCCAGCATTGGGATTATGCATTCACTTTTTGGATTTAGCAAGAATAAATTGCCAAGAAGTCCCGTAAGAAGTACGTAATTAAGATTCAGACCTTATTTTCTAAATCACTTGAAATATTAAGAAACAAATTAGAGATTTGAAATCAGTATGAAAAACTAGCTTAGGTAGTGAAATTTGGTTAAGATTGAGCAAAAATTAAAAAAAAAAATTTATAACCCACGTCCCCCTTAAGGGATTTTGAATGCCTAATCAATTTCGTTGTAGTGGGGTCTAACGCCCGACCAAGTGCATGCAATTTTCGAGTTACTACGGCAAACTAGCTCCGTCGTGGGGTCTAACGCCCGACCAAGTGCATGCAATTTTCGAGTTACTACGGCAAACTAGCTCCGTCGTGATGTCGTGTTGCGATGGGTGCCTTCACATGTTTGCGACAATGTGCCATTATTGCTGGATTAAAAGCTATCATGTGCATGCTGATAAATTGTGAAAAGAGTAGATCGCTGACAACATGCCAAATTTATTATTGTCTTGTGTGGCATGAGGAAGCCATATAAGCATTTTGACCCCACCGGGGTGGTCTAGTAGCTAAGGTACTCGGCCGCTGACCCGCAGGTCGCGGGATGAAATCCTGGCTGTGGCAGCTGCATTCTTGATGGAAGAAAAATTGCTGTAGGCCCGTATGCTCAGATATGGGCGCACATTGAAGAACCCTAGGAGGTCTAAATTTCTGGAGCCCTCCACTACGGCTTCTCTCATAATCATATGGTGGTTTTGTAACGTTAAACCCCACATATCAATCAATCAGTCAATTTAGGAGCATTTTGAGACCCTCTTTTTTTGCTATCTTTTCTTCAACTGTGACAGCAATATCTGCTTTGACCTCATCGGGTGCCCAGAAGCACACTACGACGCACTTTGCACGATGCTGTAGACACTGCAACAAGCTACCACAGAAATATCTAGCCAAATCGCTGATAACAAGATCGACAATAAAATACAGCTGCTACTTCACTTTTCGCATGAGATGTGGCTGTAAAGAAAATAGTCCATAGTCGTTGCAGTCGTTGAAGTATGCGGAGATAACAAGCATCGAGAGCAAATTGCAACCTAAGCGAGGATTAGGGGTGCTACCAGTTTGCTGCAAATCATCATGCTTGATCCGGGCGATTTTTTTTCTAGTTTTCTAAAAACCTGCGACTCGACAAACAATGGCGATGGATGGACCTCCGCAATATTGAATCCTGTTTTCTGTTCTTCGTCGCTGTCGCTCAAAAATTGCAATTATGTGGTTATGCCTACATCTCTTTTTTTGGAAGAACTGGATGTGGGCATGAGCCTTTTATATAGCCATTGTGACTGTGGAGTGTTTAGTGTATTGAAACTGTACTGTACTTGTACTAGTACATCAGCCTTAAAATTTCATGTTAGTACTTCTTCAGGGATATCGCTCTGATGCCTTTGCTCTTGACTGCTTCATGTCCATAATATTGCATTAAAATGTTTATTGATATTCATGTTGTACTAGGGCAAATGTTGATATGTCTTAGGTTTTATCTGTTGATAGACACATCTTTCTTCTTGCTGCAGAGGGCCAGATTCCCAAGGGAGCCCTTTACATTGATGATCAACGCAACTATTATGCGAGTGAGTGAGATGTGTTTACAGATTTACACCAGCATTTTATAATGGCAGAATTTTTAGAATGCTGTGAGACCTTTGCTCTCTTCTGTTCTTCTATGCTGCTACAGTGAAACCTCATTAAACCGTACCCGCGTAAACAGCAACTTCGTTTTAAAAGTAGTGAAGTCAAATCCTCGACTCGGCAGCCATTGAACATAATGTATTTTGTATCCGCATAAGCCGTACCAGCTTATCGCATATGTATCGGTGAATAAGTAGTTATTCCGATTTTCGTTGCACACTCGCCGCGGCATGTCCTCCCCCACTGGGCGTCCCGACAGAACAGTAAGCCCCAGAGATCAAAACACGCCTCGCTTGTTTGTGTTGATGATGATGGCGCCTGTGTTGGTGGGCGCCATCTCTTGGATTTTTCTGCAATAAGAAACACTCGGCCGGCTAGGCTTCTGGTGTTGTCCATGCGATGGCGCTTTGCACAAACACGCAAACACGGTGTGCGCTTGCTTTGCTTTCTTTGTTCCTTTGGCGCGGTGCATAGGTGTTCTCTGGTTCATCCGTGTCGTACAGCTCTCGTGTCGTTTTTCACGTGTTGTGTATGTGTGCTTGTGCTGCTTCGTACTTGCGTCATGCCGAAGCTGGGACAAAAGCATCAAGTGCTGAAAATAGAGGAGAAATAGGACATAATTCGTGCTATTGAAAGTGGCCAAAAAAAATCGGCGCTGGCACGCGAAAAGGACCTGCCGTTAACCACGGTGTGTGGAATTTGGAATTTCAGAGAGAAGTTGCTCGGGAGTGCTGCTGCAACTGCGAAAAGGTGCTGGCTACGCAGTTCGGCGTTATCGGATGTAGAGGAGGCGCTGGTGAAGTGGCTAAAAGCTGCACGGTCAAAAAAGCTGCCTATCAGCGGACCCCTGCTCGTGGAGAAGGCCCTGGTTTTTGCCTCGCAGCTCGACCATGACAACTTCGTGTGCAGCAATGGCTGGCTGGCCAGATTTAAGACTAGGCACGGCATTACCACGAGGACTGTTTCTGGAGAAGGTGCTGCTGCTGACGTGGATGGCGCGGAGCAGTGATAACATGGTCAGCTGAAGAACATCTTTGAAGACTATGCACCTGATGACATCTTTAATATGGATAAATCGGCGCTATTCTTTAAGCTGCTACCAGACAAAACACTCGCGTTCAAAGGCGAGACATGCACCGGCGGCAAACATGCAAAAGACAGAATATCAGTGGCGTTTTGCGTAAACATGACTGGAAACGACAAAACTCCGCTCCTCATGATTTTAAAGTTTGCAAAGCCTAGATGTTTCAAAGGCGCCCGGTTGCCATCAGGGGTCATCTCTCGCAGCAACACCAAAGCATGGATGACGGCAAAACTCTTTCAGCAGCACATGCGCCTCATTGATCGTCGTTTTGTGGCTAAGAACAGAAGAGTTGTTATTATTTTAGACAACGCTTCGGCGCACGTCGCCCTGGACAACCTGACGACTGTGAAGTTGGCGTTTCTGCCACCAAACACAACAGCGATTGCCCAGCCCTTAGACCAAGGCATCGTTCGAGCTGTAAAACAGCTCTACAAGAAGAATCTGCTGCTCAGATTTCTTCTCGCCATTGAATGTGGAAAATTATTCTCCATCGACCTGATTGCCGCGATTCACCTGCTCGAATACTCGTGGCGGCAGGTTGAATCAACGACAGTTCGAAATTGCTTCAAGCAAGCTGGCTTCAGTGTGTGTGCGGGCGACGCAGATGACGCCAGCGACACCATCGACCAGACTCCGGACATCGTAGATGAAGCTTGCAAAACTGTGCTAGCTGAAGTGCTGGAGCGGCAGGGTGTTGCGGAAGGCATTTCCTTCCCCGACTTCAGAGACACAGACAGCGATGTGCAGTCATCTCCGGACATGTCCGACGAAGCCATGGTTGCCTCGGTTGTTGAAGTGTCGCCAAATGATAGCGATGAGGACGACATGGAAAGCGACAATACGGGTGATCCAGGTCCGACAGTGGCTGAAGCTGCGCATTGCGTCAGCGTCATGCGGGTATTTGCCGAAAAGAGGGGGCTGGCGGAAAAGCTGACTCACAGCATAAGTGAGTTTGAGGCCGCTGTCGTTGCTGCTAGGCCGCCGCGTCGTCAAATGAAGATTACATACTTTGTCACGCGAAGTTAATAAATTACTGCACGTTTTTTGTTCTTTCATCGCGCTCTCTGAAGGTTTCTTTTTTTGACAGGTAAGTGAGCAACCTGGCGCTATTTCGGTTAAGCAGTGCTACCGTTTAGTACGTACTTTTTCCGAGCTCCGGCCAACTACGGCCTAACGAGGTTTCACTGTATTTAAATTGGCATGTCGAAAGTAGTTTGCGATTCTAACGCACATGCACAAGCAGCACATTTTGGCACTGTGTGGCTGGTGTGTAGAACCTCTGAAACGTCAAAAAAAAAAATTGTAGTTGTGTTGCATTTGTAGAGGAACCTTTCAGTTCTGACCTTCTGCTGGGGTTATAGTGGATCTGTTAATATTAAGAATTGCATGTCATGAGATGCAGTAAACCATGGTTAAAATTGAATATGAACGGTCCTTTAAAGTACAGTCGACTCTCGTTAATTTAAACTGGAAGAGACCTCTGAATTTTGTTTGAATTATCAGAAGTTCCTAGATGGATGACTCTGGGTGAGGCGACACCACACATTATGATTAAGCCTTGATTTCATCACATATAACAGTTTTTTTTAAGTGTTTTTAAACCCTAGCTGCACATAATGAACAGAAAGCAGAGAAGTATGGTCCACATGTTTACTAGCAATTTACTGCTGATCAGACCTTTTAAAGAAATTGTGAATTGCCGGCTGCTTCTTTGCTGTAGGTATGTGCCTTCAGCACAACGCCCTCTATACTAGTTGAGAAGCATAACGGTTTACCATGCATGCATTTTGTTTCAAACATTTGTTTTAGCAAAGCCTTTTTTCTTGAAGGCCTGAGGTGCTTATTTTTCATTTTCAGACTGTTAGGATTATATAAGCATGCAAGTTTTTAAATAGTAGTGAGAAAGCAGCAGATGTTCTCTGGTATGGTGCTGCAAAAAGTATGAATTAACCAAATGATGAAATTCGAATTAAGAGGCTTTTAAATACATTGAAAGAATAGAGGGCCAACCAAAAAATTGAATTTCATTTGAATTAACCAAAAGTATGAATTATCAGAGTTTGAATTATCGAGAGTCTACTGTATATCAAACTATCTCGTGGTCCACTTCAAGATTGATATATCAGGGATTGACTGCACCTGAGTAGAACTAACCACAGGGTACAGTTTATGTGGCCTATCTTCTCCAAACATAATGACCATGCACTTCACACCTTATTGGCGTGGCTCACGCAGCAACTGAAGTTTTCTACATTAGAGCTGGAGCGCCATGACAAGGGCCGATTGAACTACAGTACACTTTTGGTAAATGGAAGTCATTTAGGCTGCTCAAATATGGCTGGTTTTGTGCCACATTTGTGGGTGGAAGCCGGCTGCTGTTTCTAGGAGAAGCTCGGGAAGCAGGAATATTGCTGTCGTGCATCCACTACGGAGCTTCAAGAAGTGTGCTTCGAAGCACTTTAAGATAGTTTTAGAGCAGGTTTCTTGGGTCAAACATTATTTGAAATTTTTCATTTCTAGTAAACTGAAAATTTTAATGGTTTTTACTGAACAATCAATGTTGATGAATCAACTGCATTTACCACTAATTTAATATATACAGTAAAACCTAGGTAATTTGAAGTCACTGGTACCGTGAGAAATCTTCGAATTAAGCTGGTTTTCAAATAACAGGACACACAAAAAGTGGAATTCAAGGAAATTGAAATTATTTGAAGTATAATCAGGGCTCGTAGTTTGCTTTGCCGGCTAGTTTGCTGCGCCAAGGATTACGTTTTCTAGAAATATAAGGTCACAATTTCGCTGCAAACAAGGGGGAACGCCAGGCCTTGCTGCTGCAATCGCTAACAAGAAGAAAAAAAAGTGATCAGCTTCAATTGTACCTGTGAAAAATAAAAGATCTTCACTGCAACATAGTAGTGACACGTGGGCATCGTGTCACCTGCTTTTCGCAGCATCAGCACGTCATGATGCGACCATTGGTCGATTCCTTTTAGTAAAATAAAGATTTTAATAATAGACAGTATAATGAAGTTTACGATGTTTTCGCTGGAAAACGTGATCATTAAAGCTATAGAACCTAGTTTCCGAAGTTGGCATAGCAGCCAATAACTCCGCCAGCAGTGCAAGTGCGCAAATTGCTGGAGCAACCAGCACGCGGAGGTTAACATACATCACGAATTCCACCAGGCTGTCCGTTAATAATTTCTTTATATTCCCAGGAAGAATGGGTGAATAATGACTCCCCGAGTTTCCGAGAAGCTTGCGACATGCTGCTTGCGCATCTCGCTGTGTTGCAGCGAAGCACATTTTGTTTTCCAAAGGTGCACATTTCAACCGATCAGAGACTGGGTTTTTTTTTACAATTTTATTGTTCGTGCTGGAAGTATCGAGGCTGAGATACTTCAGCTGCCATTTAGTAGTGTTGCTACAGTACATTTCCTAGTGGCTCTAAAGGGCTGTCGTTTTCGCGGTTTTTCAGTGAAATCGTGATCGGGAATTGGTACACTGCACCGAAGGTTTTCGAATTAATCGAACTGATGCTGGCCACTGCTTCAAATTATCCACTCAAACTTACATTACAAAATACGTGACCATTGAAGTACTTCGAACTAAGGGGAATTTTGAAGTAACTGTGTTCGATGTAATGAGGTTTTACTGTACATGCATATTTTTCCATTGTAGAAGCATCACACCTGACCGAGCAATAACTCGGAAAAAACTAAAGATTTGCGATGCCTTGGAGAGCTACACTTGACTACACAAGTTGGCAAAACTTGTGGAGCTCACTCGGACTCACTCAATGAACATATTTTGGGCTTTGGACTCACTCAGACTCTCACTCGCCAACGTATTGCC